ACACAAAATTTTTATAGGTAATTTAAAATGAATACAAGTATTTGTTTAAACAATTTAATTGTTTTTCCTCTACAGATGCTCTTTCTCCAATATACGCTTAAATCAAATCGATAAAATTCTTTATAAAGGCAATCAGGTGTTAATACTCTCCCAGGGAGATATTTACAAGGGAAAATCCCAACAAATCTCAGTGCCGCCTATTAACAATAACTCAGAATCAACAAGTTCTTCAAAATCTCAGGGCAATATCTGGTCACGTAGTGATCATCGTTCTGCCGAAATGGCTAAAGATTTTAAAATACGCATTGAATTACAACATCTAACACATATCGATCGTGCTGTAGATGTTTTTTGTGATGATGATTTTGCCTCATTCGCTGCTCTACAGGAATCCCATGTTAAATATTTCAAATTACCAGCCCTTAATCCGGAAGAGTATACTTTTAAGAAGCTATATAATGATGTTTGTGAATATGATGCCATACATGATGTAGTCTTTCATGTAGATGGTGATAAGTTTCCGGCTCATAAATTTATAGTGTATGCTCGTGCTCCTGGTTTGAGGGAATTTATTGCCTCAAAAGATGAAAAGGAAGTGCATTTGAGTTTTCAGCTTTTAACGTGTAAAATGTTTGAATTAATATTGAAATTATTTATTCCAACTATTTGCCGAATGAACAAGGTAAAATGTTTTTGTTTAATTTTGTGGCAAAATATTAGATTTTAAAAACATTTTTTTTATTATTTGCAGATCTGGAAGACATACAGAGTAGTTTGCATACTGATAGTCCTGCTGAATTGGATGATGTTTGTAGAATATTTTTAAATTTTGTTGAACAATTTCATATCACAAATTTGGCGAACTATTTGAAATAGTAAGTAGATCGTTTATTTAGTTTTCTAGAAAAAAAGAACAGTATTTTCAATACTGAAAATTTTCTATAAGATTAGACAATGGACTAGTCTTTAGTCTATTCTATAGTCTAGTCTATAGTCTAGTCTATAGTCTAGTCTATAGTCTAGTCTATAGTCTAGTCTATAGTCTAGTCTATAGTCTAGTCTATAGTCTAGTCTATAGTCTAGTCTATGTCTATAGTCTAGTCTATAGTCTAGTCTATAGTCTAGTCTATAGTCTAGTCTATAGTCTAGTCTATAGTCTAGTCTATAGTCTAGTCTATAGTCTAGTCATAGTCTAGTCTATAGTCTAGTCTATAGTCTAGTTATAGTCTAGTCTATAGTCTTAGTCTATAGTCTAGTCTATAAGTCTAGTCTATATCTAGTCTATAGTCTAGTCTATAGTCTAGTCTATAGTCTAGTCTATAGTCTAGTCATAGTCTAGTCTATAGTCTAGTCTATAGTCTAGTCTATAGTCTAGCTCTATTAGTCTAGTCTATAGTCTAGTCTATAGTCTAGTTATAGTCTAGTCTATAGTCTAGTCTTAGTCTATAGTCTAGTCTATAGTCTAGTCTATAGTCTAGTCTATAGTCTAGTCTAGTCTATAGTCTAGTCTATAGTCTAGTCTATAGTCTAGTCTATAGTCTAGTCTATAGTCTAGTCTATAGTCTAGTCTATAGTCTAGTCTATAGTCTAGTCTATAGTCCTAGTCTATAGTCTAGTCTATAGTCTAGTCTATAGTCTAGTCTATAGTCTAGTCTATAGTCTAGTCTATAGTCTAGTCTATAGTCTAGTCTATAGTCTAGTCTATAGTCTAGTCTATAGTCTAGTCTATAGTCTAGTCTATAGTTAGTCTAGTCTAGTCTATAGTCTAGTCTATAGTCTAGTCTATAGTCTAGTCTATAGTCTAGTCTATAGTCTAGTCTATAGTCTAGTCTATAGTCTAGTCTATAGTCTAGTCTATAGTCCTAGTCTATAGTCTAGTCTATAGTCTAGTCTATAGTCTAGTCTATAGTCTAGTCTATAGTCTAGTCTATAGTCTAGTCTATAGTCTAGTCTATAGTCTAGTCTATAGTCTAGTCTATAGTCTAGTCTATAGTCTAGTCTAGTCTAGTAGTCTAGGTCTATAGTCTAGTCTATAGTCTAGTCCTATAGCTAGTCTATAGTCTAGTCTATAGTCTAGTCTATAGTCTAGTCTATAGTCTAGTCTATAGTCTAGTCTATAGTCTAGTCTATAGTCTAGTCCATAGTCTAGTCTATAGTCTAGTCTATAGCTAGTCTATAGTCTAGTCTATAGTCTAGTCTATAGTCTAGTCCATAGTCTAGTCTATAGTCTAGTCTATAGTCTAGTCCATAGTCTAGTCTATAGTCTAGTCTATAGTCTAGTCCTATAGTCTAGTCTATAGTCTAGTCTAAGTCTAGTCTATAGTCTAGTCTATAGTCCTAGTCTATAGTCTAGTCTATAGTCTAGTCTATAGTCTAGTCCTATAGTCTAGTCTATAGTCTAGTCTATAGTCTAGTCTATAGTCTAGTCTATAGTCTAGTCTATAGTCTAGGTCTATAGTCTAGTCTATAGTCTAGTCTATAGTCTAGTCCATAGTATCCTAGTCTATAGTCCTAGTCTATAGTCTAGTCTACTATATAGTCTAGTCTATAGTCTAGTCTATAGTCTAGTCTATAGTCTAGTCTATAGTCTAGTCTATAGTCTAGTCTGTAGTCTAGTCTATAGTCTAGTCTATAGTCTAGTCTATAGTCTAGTCTATAGTCTAGTATATAGTCTAGTCTATAGTCTAGTCTATAGTCTAGTCTATAGTATAGTCTATAGTCTAGTCTATAGTCTAGTCTATAGTCTAGTCTATAGTCTAGTCTATAGTCTAGTCTACAGTCTACTCTGTCTTCTAGTCTACAGTCTACTCTGTAGTCTAGTCTACAGTCTACTCTGTAGTCTAGTCTATAGTCTAGCCTAGTCTACAGTCTAATCTATAATCTAGCCTGTAGTTTTGGCTATAGTCTAGTCCAAGTGAAATTTAAAAGCACTTGAAAATATCGACTATTTCCTCCATCTAATTCATTTTCCAGCTACTTGCAACAATCACCCTTCTACTTGCCACACATGGTCGATAAATCCAAATATCGTTTTAATCGCTTGCGACACAACGATTACCCACAATTCTATGATGTACGCATTCTATGCGAAAATAATATAGAACTGCCAGCCCATAAATGTGTCCTAGTGGCGCGTTTGGAATACTTTGAAATGATGTTTACGCACACATGGGCCGAACAGACCACCATTAATTTATCCACCGTACCCATCGAATATATGCAGGCCATCGTAGAGTTTCTCTACAGTTTAGATGTTGAACATTTTCGTAAGCAACAGTATCGTGAAACGTTCCTCTACAATATGATAGTATTCTGTGATCAATTCTTTATTGAACGTTTAAGAAAAGTATGTGAAATTTTACTCTTGGACAAGATATCGATAAGGAAATGTGGTGATATGTTGGAATTTGCCTGTATGTACAATTGTGAGCTGATGAAGAAGGGTTGTTTGGATTTTATTTGTCAAAATTTAGCTAGAATTTTGCTACAAAAAACGCTATTCAATTGTGAGCCGGAAGCGTTAAAATGTATCAATCAACATTATCGTGAAATGTTTAAGCAGGTCTTTGATTATCGCATGATAACACCCGATTCTGAGGCAGTCGATGATGATTGTTTGTGTAGTTTTGTCGATGACTTTCAGGTGGATCTCAGCTATCGCATGGATGAGGAAGAGCAAATGCGTTATAGAACGGCGCAGAAGACTAAAGCAAAAGAAAATAAAACTAAACTTTCAGCTAGACAATATGAAAGAGAGGCTATTAGCTCTATGATGGAAACTTTGAATGTAACAGAAACTACTGAGAGAACACGTAAGATTTCAGAAAAATCCAAAGTGGTTAAAGATGCTGAAGAAGTGGCCAATAAATTGCAAAATGAAGCCAAATCCTGGATGAAGGTGGTGGATAAAAAAGAACATAAAAAGAAAGTTTCTTTGGATCAGGCGTTAAAGCTGAATGAGGTAATAAAACAGGAAGAACCAACAAGTCCCAATTATGTGTCTTTAAATAAAATAAATGATTCAGTTATGAGTAATAAAACAAAAACCCCCGAAAGAGAGTTAGAGATGGAATTACCCTCCACTAGTTCTAGCTCTAAATTATACAATATCAATCTATCCGATTTAACTACCCCGCCCAGAGAGAAACTATCACAAAAACAACGTAAACGTTTATCATCAGAAAGTTCAAATGCTGTGGGTTCTTGGCGGGCTGCTGCTTTAGTAGAAACCAAACCGGCTGCTGTAGCTCAAACCCCCAATGCTTGGGGTATAGTACCACAATCTCCCTCCTCTATAATGGACTATGATACACTTTATTCAGCTGCCACAGGCAGTTCGGCAGATCCCTCATCTTTTGCCAATATGATAAAAACAAATACTAAAACATCTACATCAACCTCAGCCTCTAACTCGAATGCCAATAATAGTTTTAGCCAGATATTGGCTGAAGAGAAGCGACAACGTGAATACTATGAACGCACCAAGCACAAATCTCTCGTCCTAACACAAATTGAAGAACAGGCTATTGCCGAATTGAAAGAATTTTATAATGTGGATAATGTCACCGATGAGATAATAACCATACAAAGAAAATCCATACAACCCACTATAAATTTTGCCATTTGGCAGAGAAACTAAAATGGCATAAACCATGAGAAGGTAATTTTTTAAAATTTTTACTTTACAAAAAAGTAGCTTTTGTAGATTAGTTGTTTTTATGTTTTTTTTTATAAAAAAAGACCGCCCCTTTTTAAAAAAGTTTGTTTAGAAAACAAAACCAAGGTTTAATTTTTCTAACCTAAAATTTCATATATTTATTTATAATTATTATTATTTTTTTTTGAAATTTTATAACAAAGTGGCAAGTTAACAAACAAAATTCAACAATTATTATCTTAAATACAATATAAATACAAATTTAATAAATTATACACTTTAAAAATAGTAATAAAAAACATAAAAAGGAGTTAAATTACAAAAAAAAAACTTAAAGCTTAACATATCAACATATATTCAAAAATAATTTCGCCCTTTTACCTTAATATTTTGCCAAATTAATTTCATTATTATTTTAAATTTATACATAAAATTATTTTCTTTAAAAACATTCTTTACGGAATGCAAAACCATATTCATCGCATTTATAGCGTAAAGTTTTAGCCAATTGTGGTGGCCCACAATAGAATACTGTTACCTTGCCCTTTTTCTGAGCCTGCAGCTGTTTAAATACTTTATCCCAATTTGGTCTGCCGGCATTGGTGCGCGTTTTTAAGCCGGTAATTAAATCACGTTTGCCCTAAAATGAAATAAAAAGAAAAAAGTTACATCAAATTAAAATAAAAAAACCTAAAGTAATTAAAATGAAATAAAAAGAAAAAATTATATTTTAAATTGGATCTTCGCTCCTAATCAAATCTAGTTATACTCGGCCAAAGATTGTCAACTTTTTGACAGTTATAGCAACCGAAAGTGGTAACAAAAACCGAAAATAAAATTTTCATTGTCAAGGTATTTTTGCTGTTGTACGGTGTTCCTATAACTATAATTGGACCTTGATTTCTAATCGCCCAAAGATCGTCAAATAAGCCGCAAATGTATCAATTAGATTATTCACTGATACCCTGGAAATAAAAGCCGATAAGGTATACTTTAAGAAGTTGTATTGTGACGTGAGTAATCCCTAAAATTACACGGCAAACTCATACTCATTACCACCCGGACGAAAGAAGTAAATCTAACTATTGGCGTCGTGGTCGAGGGAGCACAAATTTCGACCGTAAACCACTAAGGAATCTCATTTGACAGTCAGTGGATAATTATGCTGCTCCAGTGTGAACACTTCGCTCAATGATATTTAGTTGAGAAACATTCAAAATTCTGCTCTAAGGACTCTAAAAGTCTGCTAACAAACTATATAGGAAGATCCTCTACACGAGGAAACGAAGTTTCTTCTAGTTGAGGAACACAATGTCATGTTAACCAAACAGTATCTCCTAGGATGACATGCGAAGTTTAACTTCACACATATGGATACACCAACGAAGCTTTTCGGGAAGGATTCAATAGTACAATCCGCTTTAAACGACTTTCATGAAAACGCCATCAATTCCGCTGTCGAAAAAATACCACATGATTATCATTATTGGAAGTCCAAACCGCACATAGAAGACACAGAATAAAACCTGGCGCTGAAAACTACAGTGGATTCGTATACACATCATATTGAAGTAGCAATGCCCGGACATTGATGCTGAACCTTCGCACTTTGCGAATGAGAATAATCCAGGTCAGTAGCGGGGTCAGAACAGATAGCGAAAATGTGATTTAATAATGGAAATATTCGAATATGAAGAAACTTTAAACATGGCGAACTTTCAAACATAATTTTCGACATCCTTTCGATCGACTCTTTGGAATGCACTTGGTCTTAATCGGTCCATGTTCAAGATACTCTTAAAACCCGTTGAATATAATGCGTTAATCATATTCAAAGCCATGCATTTGGACATAATCCTCCTTCATTATTAGCAAATCCTATCTAAACTCCTACCGTTCTAAGGACAAGTTACCCGGTTCCAATGCAACTCCATGCTGAGCTTACCCTGTCGTCTCTGTTTGGGCTTAAACCACAGCAACCTTGTGAGCTATAAAAGAGCAATCACATATCATATATGGCGTGATATTTTAACGATTAACGCAGTATGTCATACACGAGGTCCAGATTCCATGCAGAGCTTATATAAAACTCCTACTGTTCTAAGATTGTTGTTGTAACAGATTCGCTGTGACTGGACGTTCTTCCTTCGGTTGATACAGCTGTTGCTGAGTTGACAATATTTGGCCGAGTGGGAATCGAGTCGTTTCAGAGCGAAGATCCTATTGTAGTGGGAACGACCGTTCTAAGGTTACGGTACCCGGTTGCAATGCAAGTCCATACCGAGATTACGCTTTGCTACAATACAAGCAGCAACGAGTGAAGTCGGGCAAGACTGTGTATTCTCTATGACCTTGATAAGAGTATAAACAGTGAAAGATATAACTCATGTCCAAATATCTTGGAAAGATATTGGTAGCCGTATATGTTATGATCCGAATACAAGCCCTACAGTTCAAAATAACTCAAGTATTGCGGTCTAGATGTATACAACTCTGAATCTAGACTAAAATGCTTAAAAACTATTAAACTAAAAACTATTAAAAGCTCAATTCCCCTATTAAATCATTCCAATCAAAATCTGATAAAAAAACACAATTTTCATAAGCAAATACCTCAAGGTAAGTGCAATTTTAATTAAAAATTTTTAAAAACCAAACCTACCTTTTCGTGTAGTAAGTCCAAAGCCAATTGTAGACCAACAGCCTTCATATCGGTGCGCTGTAAAGCACTTGTTATATACATATGCATATCTAAAAATCTAGATAAAAAAATTACAGGGTTTTACAACTATAGGAAAGGAATACCTCAATTAAAAGTTCCTTACCTTTCCATAGCACCACCCAATTCCGCCTGTTCAATTTCCAATTGTGAGAGTAAATTTACAAACCATTCAAATGAACGCTGATCACGATTAATCCAAAAGAAATCAACTTTACGCAGATTCATAACCGTTTTCGGTATATCACTAGCCCATTCGAAATTACAGTTGGGACAGGTGTGACGGGCCTTCCAATAGCGATGCATTATCGATTGTAAAATCGAAGCAAAGGGTGTAACACCTATGCCAGTACCTATTAAAACAGCATGTTGAGCCATGAATATGTGCGAGGAGGGGGCACCATAGGGACCATCAATAAAGATCTATTTGTAATATAGAACAAATTAGGGAACATTTTAAATTTAGCACTTAAAGGGTCTATAAAAAAAACTATAAAGTTAATTTAGATAGTCTATGGTTATATCAATAAGACCCAAACCTCTAATACTCCTGCATCAAGTGTAACCTTGCCACCAGAGTTAGTTGTGCCATTTGTGGGCATGCTGCCATTACTGCCCCGATTTCTAATAGAGGTCGATAATGAACGCAAAAATGTGGGACGTCTCAAGCGTCCCACACGATTGTTTACATTAGCTGTTGTATGCGTATTATCCTAAAGAGTTTGGAAACGTGTTTGAAACTAGTTTTCTTCTTTTTTTCACTTAATTTCTTAAATAGTTGTAAGTAATGTAGTAAAGGGTGTTAGGGAATATATGTTTTGTAGGATTTAAAGATTAATTGTAAGGGGAAAAGGGGGGGGGGGTGTTGGTTTAAGGACTTTATTTAAACAACCACTTACCTCCAAAGGTTTCGATACAGTAAATTCTGGTTTATCCTCTTTGTGATGGATATTAATGATGGTTTGTTCTGTGAAAATTTTAAAGTTAGTTTTATTTAACCTTTTTTTTCGATTTCGTATATACCTTTTGCTATCGTCCCTTCTTCGGCTTGCGCTAGTGTATAGGCTTCGGTGTTTGTTGCATTTATTTCATTTTGCGAAAATTCTGGTTCATTTTCTTCCATACTGGGCGTTTTGAAGGCAATTATAGTGGGTTTATTGCGCATATAACGGAAACTTTGCGCCAACGATTTATTTTGAGGACTCAAATAGGCTGAACCCATATTTTGCATTTTTGCTCTTCTTATACGAGTTTCATCAAATGAATGCTCCGATTCTGAACGACCCAAGGCATATAGTCTAAAGAAGTTCTTTTTTATATAATAATGAAGGTTAAATGATATCTGTCCAATACTCACGCTTTTTGTCTTTCTCTTTTCTTGGTTTTGACGGCCATATCGGGCAAGGAAGCACTTTTCTCCAAAGGCGGTTTATTTAACATTAGTTTTTTTAATTTCTGACGTTGTCCCTGTTCCAGTCTTCCCTCTAAATCATATTCATCCGATACATAACCATCATTTGAATGACCTGAATGGCGTTTCTGTTTGCCTTTCTCTTCAGCATTATCCTTGCGAGAAAAGGTCCTTTGTAAAGACTTTTTAATACTGCGTATACGATTGATGCCATTGCTATCTGAGGTTTCTCTAGCTGTTACACTTTCGGTGGCCAGACGCGGGGGAGAAAAGTTGTGTCTTGGTGGTCTGGTGGGTCCCGTAGTTTGTAATTGTTGCAAAGTTTTCGTTACCATAGACGAATCAAAACTGGAGCTGTGTTGCATTTTGGCTAAATTTTGAGCCAGGAAATCGGTTTGGGGAGTGGCAGAAGGTTTTTTGTTGTTGGCCTCATTGATTTGCAATAGACTCGAGGTGGGTATGGCCTGTTTGTGGGCTATAATATCACCATTGTGTAGCTTCTGTTGCTCCCTTTCGAAATATTGATATAAACGATTGGTCCATTCGCCCACTGTGCGTATATGCAACCACATATAATCCTCCTGCTCCGGAGCCGAACTTATGGTAAAGGGATGCCACTCATAATTAGCTATAGCCGGTATATTTACAAATACATAGTCCCCCGGACGAAAATTAAAGTTATAGGGCCGTTTTATCACCAAATGTATAACCTTAGAAGGCAGCAATAGACCCGAACTAATATAAGTCTTGCCATGTTCTCCTCTCATCCAAACATAACGTAAAATTCTTTCAATTATATACACAATACCGGGTATAAAAAACCATTTCCAAAAATTCGGTCCATGAAATAAGACCAATATCCAAAATGGTATATACAATAAATGGGTCCAATAGAAAACCTCAAATGAACCTTTACGCCTTACAAACGGTTGCGAACAGATAAACATTATGAGTAATATAATGAAAAGAGCTATTCCGGTGGGATTGGCACATCCCGGTACTAAACCAAATAAACCCGGTCTATCGGTTAACAACCATTCAGCAATTGTATAATTGGCCTTATTAATTAAGGGATCATTTACCACGACCAGAGAAAAGTTAAAGAGATGCATAATAGTGTGTACTAAACTTAAAACTGAGACCACAATGCCCGTTAATTTATGCAGATATATGTGATTATCCACCGGCAAATAGGTGGACAGGCCACGAGAACGTAAATAGGTGAGAGAATGTCTTAGCATTAGCACTAAAATCCAGGCACAATTGAAGTTTAAACATTGACCTGGGCGAAACGATTTTAAAGTTTATATATGATATCAAATTAAAGGGAAATTCCCGAGATCTTACTCACCACATGCTCTAGCAAATATAACAAAGATATTACTCGCTCTATATTGTATAGCTCTCGATACAAATAGACACACATTGACCGCTATATAGATGAATAAATATGTTACAAAAACATGATTATTTTTCATATATGCTGGGGTCAATTGATGAGGTATGGGTATACGTTGCCAGAAAGATCCTCTGGTATTACTGGCGGGTGTTTCCTGAGCCATAGGCACCAACCAGCGATCAATACTAGTGTTTTATATAAAAAAAGATAAGTTATTCTAAAAAGTTTTTCTATAAAATGTAAAAAAAATCCTACGTTATACTTAAATTCTCCAATAGACCACCATGTTTATGTAATTGATTCTTAAGGGCTTCATAGGTAATTTCACCACGATTATGGGGATCAGCATCTTCGAACATGGCAGTGGTAAGATCTTCTATCTGAAAATAATATTACTAAAATGAAAACTGCGGAATCTTAATAAGAATTATGATCAGAAGTTTCTGGTTTCTCTGTACTTCCCTAACATTTTGATTCAGTCTATTGTCGGTCTGTTTATTTTACGGTTAAATTTTTTTTCTCATAAGCATAACCAATAAATCATTATTGTACTGCCAAATGTATTATATTTGTCTTTATTCCTTTATTTTATGAAAAACTTACTTGATCTTCAGAGAATTCCATGCCGTTCTCTTCCATACAGGCACGTATGACATCATGTAATTCCTTGTGTTGAATCAGACCATCACCTAAAGTAATAAATCAATAAATGGTTATTTAATCGTCTTTGAATACAAAAACAACGCAAAAAACTCATAAAAATGCATAAAATCAAGGCAAAAACTGTAATGAATACGTCTTTGGTTACTTTGGCGGCTTGTTTTTTTTATTTGTTCAGAAAATAAAAAAGAATCAAGGTCAGGATCAAGAGAAATTTGCCATTTAATAATAATTTGTGGGATTCGAAAGCGATCGAAATTTCTAATTGGATTTCTGGTTGGATTCCTTTTAAGAGATTTAGAATTTGTACTTTATTAAGACCCCCTGGATGGAACAGATTCAAGGAAAGTCATGTCGTAATTTAGGACTCTAAGCTCTCATAAAACTGTAATGCTAAAAGTTGAATTAGTAAAGTGAAGAGTCCTTAACACTTACATCCAATGGATCATTGGTAAATCGACCCATAGACTCAGAAACTTCGACATAATCGCATAGATAGGCTGAATATAAACTTAACATCTCAAGCTAGTCTGCTAGCCGTATCTTGACACCTATATTCAATGGATATTACCAATCGGCTTATAGACTCAGAGAAGACTTAAGCATGATATTGTACCATCCTCCAAAAGGTAGACAGGATGATTTTTGGTGCAGCTGGAGGATTATAACCGACATACACCAATCTATGACAAGATCATTCGAATCATTATACGAATATGCGATCTTGGTATTATAATTGACAGATCAGATTCACTAATGACTCCACATTTTCCAGGTGGAAATTTATTGTAAAATTTTATAAATTTATAAATTTTATAATAGTTTTACTTTTATCAAGGCACTTAACTGTAATGTAATGAGATCGAAGTATCTTATAAGTTGCATTCACCACCCGTCCCAACTCTGGCGCCTCAACATGGCTAACCAATGCGAAATTAACAGATCTATCGTAGGCGAAAGGAATTACCACGGCATTTAAAATGATCGATAAATGAAGGACGTCAGAAGAAACGGAAATTGGGTAGTCCCCTACCCCTGGTAATGGCTAACGGAAAAAGGAACTTGGACAGACCACTTTGGCGCCGTCCGAGTTCCTATTTAGATGTCGAAGCGAATTACGACATCTAAAATGATCGTTCAATGATGGACCATAGAAGAAACGGAAATTGGTTGCTCATCTGCCGACGAATAGCTGATAGATAAATAGGTATTCGAACGATCCCCTTTGTTGAGGCATTCCTAAGGACCGCAGTATCTAACATAATCGATTAATGATGGGCAACATAAGAAACGGAAATTGGGCCTCTTGTCCACGAATAGGTGTGTGAAAAATAGGAATTCTAGTTCTAGCCTTTTACAAAAAAGTACCTTGTCTCTTCTGGCTTATTATATTTACTGCATCATTGGGACCTCCACGCATGTTACCTTGACAAAACCTCTCTCGCCTTGTTGTTATTGTAATCCTGGGGAAAAGAGGTGCTACTAGTACCTCTATTTTGTTGGGTCTATAATGTAGTGATGTCATTGGAATTATTTAACTAGAATGATTTAGAGAAACGATGACACGCAGGGAAGAGTTTCGAACTTTGTCTTGTTCCGGTTATTGTTGTGATTCTTTCGAAATGGACTTGGTGGTTGTGGTTCCACCCAAATTGCGAGAACAGAATGTTGATGTAACGACTGTCTTTGGCATTGGTTTAGCGATTAGGTCTCTGGGGGTTGTTGCCGAATTAGCGGAGGCCATTCCATTCGGGTGGTTTTAAACGGAAGTTATGCTTTTAAAGCATTTTGGAAATTACGCAACAGCGCAACCAATAATTAGAGATCAGATAGTTCAAGTACTTGAAAAAAGGGCCTATATGGTCTGTCATCACCATGTGTAAAATTTGGAACCAGCGAGTTTTTAAGGGATTACAAAGGACGCTGGTGAGTCGTCTTTAGCTCACATGTTGTTTGAAAAAGTTCACCGTGGAATAAGGGCGCACGTAAACTCCACCGGAATCTGTATTATTAGACGAATGTCAGATGATATTGGCCACCCACATAACAGTTTCTGTAGAAGTTCTTTAGAAGAAGAATCGTTAAAACAACTTTTGTAAGAATTTCATGCACTGCAAGATAGCAGGCGTGGTACAAGCCTCTTCCATGATCTGGACTGTCTCAAGAATGATCTCTTACGAATAAAAATGTTCGAAATATCGGTTAGTACTTACAGTGGTCACATTACCTATTACAATTAAGGAGAAATCATTTCATAAGTATCACAATAAAAGTGTTCTTTCTAAATTGCGATGCTTTCATATAGCATTATCTAAATGGTCCCCTATATTTTTACCGAGGGCTCTTGATCTAAAACTTATTAGTTCCAAACTTTTTCATAATCTAGCTGTTGTATTAGAAGACGGATATAAATGAATTAGAAGTTTCGCTTGGATTTCCCGGCGAAAGAACTATATACAAGTTCGCTTTAAACAGACATTTATTCAAAGTCTATAGCAATGGGTCAAAATGCCCTTAAGGGATTTCTCTAAATTGTATTTTTCCAAATTATAATAAACAAATTTTTACCATCAATATCGTAAACCTTAAAAAGAAAACGTATTTTATCATCAGCCGATTGTCCTGAGAATTGATTAATGGCATCAATAAATTCCTGCAGTGATATAGAACCCGAATTATCCTTATCGAAGATTTGAAAAACACGTTCGGTAAAAAATGGCTAAAAATATAAAAGAAAAAAATTTTAAACAAACTAAAATGAAATAATGTGAGTTAACAACTAAAATCTTTAGTTACAGCAACAACATTATTGTTAGCTCTATTAATCCAATAGACTTGATGTCACACAGATTATGTTTGCTGTCCTTTACTAATATAAATGATTTCCAAGAAAAACAAAAATGCTTACATTTTTTGAGATAACAATTTTTTTGAATTCTTCACGTCGTATCTCCTTTTCATTACCCACAGTATTGCGAAATAGTTGCTCCAAACGTGCCAAAGAACTTTTATCAAATCCAGTGCGTGCTCTAAATTGGAAAAAACAAGAATTATTTTTCAGGAATAAAATCAAACCAAAATAATAATAAATAATTTATGCCAACATTCATTAATAACATGATTTAAGCAACAAAATCTTAAAAATATAAAAGTTTAACATAAAAAAAAAAATATGAAAACTATTACAACAAGTTGTAGTTAAGGTTTAGTAATAAATTAAAGATTAATTAAAAGATTACACTACAACAGCAGAACCAAACGCCATAAGTCAGTATCTGTAACAAAACTAAAGGTTTGCTGTTAACAGGAAAAATACATAGAGACGGACAGACGAAGGAGGTCTGAACATTTGGACGGACGTTTAAAAAGTCTAGTATGTATTTGATTAATAGCTGCTTTTCCCCATGTTAGTTGTCAGTTTGTAAAGAGATTTTATATCGAACATTTTAAAAGGATGCTGCAACAGTTTGTATGTGTAGCAGCATCATTCTTTCTAAATTACACTCGACAAATATTGTTAATCGAAAATGTTGCTAAAAGTAATCAAAAATTTTAATTTTTTGTGGTTTTTTCACATAAGTACGCTAGTAAAGTTGAATCTATAATCTAGTCTATAATCAAGTCTAGTCTACTATAGTCTAGTCTATAGTCTAGTCTATAGTCTAGTCTATAGTCTAGTCTATAGTCTAGTCTATAGTCTAGTCTATAGTCTAGTCTATAGTCTAGTCTATAGTCTAGTCTATAGTCTAGTCTATAGTCTAGTCTATAGTCTAGTCTATAGTCTAGTCTATAGTCTAGTCTATAGTCTAGTCTATAGTCTAGTCTATAGTCTAGTCTATAGTCTAGTCTATAGTCTAGTCTATAGTCTAGTCTATAGTCTAGTCTATAGTCTAGTCTATAGTCTAGTCTATAGTCTAGTCTATAGTCTAGTCTATAGTCTAGTCTATAGTCTAGTCTATAGTCTAGTCTATAGTCTAGTCTATAGTCTAGTCTATAGTCTAGTCTATAGTCTAGTCTATAGTCTAGTCTATAGTCTAGTCTATAGTCTAGTCTATAGTCTAGTCTATAGTCTAGTCTATAGTCTAGTCTATAGTCTAGTCTATAGTCTAGTCTATAGTCTAGTCTATAGTCTAGTCTATAGTCTAGTCTATAGTCTAGTCTATAGTCTAGTCTATAGTCTAGTCTATAGTCTAGTCTATAGTCTAGTCTATAGTCTAGTCTATAGTCTAGTCTATAGTCTAGTCTATAGTCTAGTCTATAGTCTAGTCTATAGTCTAGTCTATAGTCTAGTCTATAGTCTAGTCTATAGTCTAGTCTATAGTCTAGTCTATAGTCTAGTCTATAGTCTAGTCTATAGTCTAGTCTATAGTCTAGTCTATAGTCTAGTCTATAGTCTAGTCTATAGTCTAGTCTATAGTCTAGTCTATAGTCTAGTCTATAGTCTAGTCTATAGTCTAGTCTATAGTCTAGTCTATAGTCTAGTCTATAGTCTAGTCTATAGTCTAGTCTATAGGCTAGTCTATAGTCTAGTCTATAGGCTAGTCTATATTTCACTACATAGTTCTGACAGTTTATCTCCTCCTCCACACATTATTTCGAGTGTAAAATACCTCCAGACATTGTCTTACAATTCCTCAAAACGGGTTCTGATCTCTCTCTAACACTTTAGCTTAATTTTTTAGTTCTATATTTTCGTTTCGCACAATTATATTCGCAAGAAAAAATCAATTTGTTTTACAAATTGTAAATTGTTAACATGGTCATAAATTTTATTTAGTCTAAATTCTACTTTATTTTCAATTTAAAAACTTCAAATTCCTTTCAGCACTATTAACCAAAGTATAGAAAAGAAAATTTACCTTAAATTGGTTAAATGTGAAATAAATTCCATGATTTGATTTGTGGAAATGGAATTTGTGCCATCAGCATCTATGAGACGATAAAGTTTATCTAAAATCTGTGAAGAAAATCATGATTTACGTATAAAATATTTAAAATATTTAATGGTTTTTAATGTTGTTATTTTATTTATGTGTTTTTTGTTTTTTGAAAAAAAAAAAAAAAAATATCACTTACCCCTCGAGTATGCCATATATCCTTAAAGTTTTTAAATGTTATTTTACTATTTTCACCACAAAGCACATACGCCACCGATTCCAACTGTTCCGCATAGTCCATTTGTCTGTCATCGCTGGAAGAGGTTTCAATTTAACAAAATAAACAATTAAATTATAATGATTAACTATAGACTAGACTACAGACTAGACTATAGACTAGACTTTAGACTAGACTATAGACTAGACTATAGATAGACTATAGACTAGACTATAGACTAGACTATAGACTAGACTATAGACTAGACTATAGACTAGACTATAGACTAGACTATAGACTAGACTATAGACTAGACTATAGACTAGACTATAAGCTAGACTATAGACTAGACTAGACTATAGACTAGACTATAGACTAGACTATAGACTAGACTATAGACTAGACTATAGACTAGACTATAGACTAGACTATAGACTAGACTATAGACTAGACTATAGACTAGACTATAGACTAGACTATAGACTAGACTATAGACTAGACTATAGACTAGACTATAGACTAGACTATAGACTAGACTAGACTATAGACTAGACTATAGACTAGACTATAGACTAGACTATAGACTAGACTATAGACTAGACTATAGACTAGACTATAGACTAGACTATAGACTAGACTATAGACTAGACTATAGACTAGACTATAGACTAGACTATAGACTAGACTATAGACTAGACTATAGACTAGACTATAGACTAGACTATAGACTAGACTATAGACTAGACTATAGACTAGACTATAGACTAGACTATAGACTAGACTATAGACTAGACTATAGACTAGACTATAGACTAGACTATAGACTAGACTATAGACTAGACTATAGACTAGACTATAGACTAGACTATAGACTAGACTATAGACTAGACTATAGACTAGACTATAGACTAGACTATAGACTAGACTATAGACTAGACTATAGACTAGACTATAGACTAGACTATAGACTAGACTATAGACTAGACTATAGACTAGACTATAGACTAGACTATAGACTAGACTATAGACTAGACTATAGACTAGACTATAGACTAGACTATAGACTAGACTATAGACTAGACTATAGACTAGACTATAGACTAGACTATAGACTAGACTATAGACTAGACTATAGACTAGACTATAGACTAGACTATAGACTAGACTATAGACTAGACTATAGACTAGACTATAGACTAGACTATAGACTAGACTATAGACTAGACTATAGACTAGACTATAGACTAGACTATAGACTAGACTATAGACTAGACTATAGACTAGACTATAGACTAGACTATAGACTAGACTAGACTAGACTATAGACTAGACTATAGACTAGACTATAGACTAGACTATAGACTAGACTATAGACTAGACTATAGACTAGACTATAGACTAGACTATAGACTAGACTATAGACTAGACTATAGACTAGACTATAGACTAGACTATAGACTAGACTATAGACTAGACTATAGACTAGACTATAGACTAGACTATAGACTAGACTATAGACTAGACTATAGACTAGACTATAGACTAGACTATAGACTAGACTATAGTCTAGTCTTGTCTAGTTTATGTTTTGAAGTTTAGTATTGTGTTGTAGACGATCCTAATGTCCAAAACATATTGTTGTAAATCTTGTTTTAGGTAGAAGATGTTAAGATTCAACACATCCACACAAACTATTGTTTAAAGCAAAGAATAAATGTTTAAAGTATTAAAACTAAAACACATTTTATAAACCCCAGTCAAAGATGACTTTACTACAGATATCGTATGTTGCGTATATTGTCCTTGGTTGCAAATACGCAAAAATTACATTTACATTATATGACTGTTTGCAGTTGCAATGTGTAGCATCTAAATGGCAACAATAACAGCAACGACAACAACAACAAACAAAAAATATCATACCGACTTGAATAAAATAAGTCAATTGACAACGCCAACACCGCTCTTCCAGTGCGCGAGTGCTGCAACATAAAATTGAAGATATATGTTGTTGCAACAACATTGTATTTGCAGTTTGTTGTTAGTGGTGTGTTTCGTTAAATGTTTAAACGTTAAAAAGGAGGATTTACAACGTGAACATTGCAAAAATTGTGTGCAAAATTGAGTTTATTTGTTAGGTAGTGTGTGGTTAAGAAATACCCTACAGCATCGATTGCAGTAGAGTTAAAGCTACAAGTTGTTCTTTATATAGCAGTGAGTATGTTATTTTAAGTGATCAGGGACTTTTTAGAAGATTTTTCAGAGATCTTCTCTAAAAATATTAAATTTATTACCAATCATTTTAACAAATAACAATACCATCCCAATTAACAAATTAACGTATAAAAACATTAATGTTAACTCATGTTATTGACCATTTATATTTAAGCTGTTGTTAGACATTTATTAAACAGCAACAAAAAAAAAAAAAAAAAACTCAAAAAATCTTAACAGCAAGATTAAGAATGAAACAAGTATTAAAACACAGTTGTTGTTTAAATTAAAATGAAAATAACTTACGTTAAACGTCCTTTTAAATGTTCAATCCAACGATCTTGTACCAAATAACCATTTCCATCCAAATCGAATAAATTGAAGAATTTTTTTTGAAAATCCTGTTGAAGAAGATTAAAAAGAAAAGAAAACAGGAAATTTTTTCTATTAGACATATTTTTCCATTAATAAAATAATAAAGAATTTTTCTTAATTAAAATATTTTTAAAGACACATCATGTTCTATCATAAAGAAACTTGTTTCTTCCTGAAAGCAATTTAAATGATGTTTAACGTAAAATTATTAATATTATTTAACGAGGAAAAATATTTAGAAATTTTACTATCATAAGCTGGAAAGTAGAGTTGTCTGTCAGGTGTAAGTCTCTGTTAAATCTTCACAAGCTTTGGACGTAAATTGATTATAGCCAAGACCATAGACTGGTATATAAACAAGACTATAGTCTATACTATAAACAAGGGTATAGACAAGACTATAAGTCTGGACTATAGACAAGACTATAGACTGGACTATAGAAAATACTATATTGTGGACTATAGACAAGACTGGTCTGGACTATAGACAAGATTATAATCTGAAGTTTAAACAAGACTATAGTCTGAACTTTAAACAAGACTACAGTCTGAACTTTAAACAACACTATAGTGTGGACAATAGACAAGACTATAGTCTGGACTATAGACAAGATTATAATCTGAACTTTAAACAAGACTACAGTCTGAACTTTAAACAAGACTATAGTCTGAACTATAGACAAGACTACTGTCTGAACTATAGACTATAGTCTTGACAATAGACAAGACGATAGTCTAGGCTATAAACAAGGCTATAGTCTGGATTATAGACAATACTATAGTCTGGACTATAGTATACTATAGTCTGGACTATACTCCAGACTATAGTCTGGACTATACTCTAGACTATAGTCTGGACTATAGAGAAGACTATAGTCTGGACTATAGAGAAGACTATAGTCTGGACTATAGAGAAGACTATAGTCTGGACTATAGACAAGCCTATAGTCTGGACTATAGAGAAGACTATAGTCTGGACTATAGACAAGATTATAGTCTGGACTATAGACAAGACCATAGTCTGGACTATAGACAAGTCTATAGTCTGCACTATAGACAAGACTATAGTCTGGACTATAGACAAGACTATAGTCTGGACTATAGACAGGACTATAGTCTGGACTATAGAAAAAGCTATAGTCTGGACTATAGACAAGACTATAATCTGGACTATAGACAAGACAATAGACTGGACTATGGAGAAGACAGTAGTCTGGACTATAGACAAGACTATAGTCTGGACTATAGACAAGACTATAGCCTGGACTATAGACAAGACTATAGTCTGGACTATAGACAAGACTATAGTCTGGACTATAGACAAGACTATAGTCTGGACTATAGACATGACTATAGTCTGGACTATAGACAAGACTATAGTCTGCACTATAGACAAGACTATAGTCTGGACTATAGACAGGACTATAGTCTGGACTATAGACAGGACTATAGTCTGGACTATAGACAGGACTATAGTCTGGACTATAGAATAGACAGGACTATAGTCTGGACTATAGACAGGACTATAGTCTGGACTATAGACAGGACTATAGTCTGGACTATAGACAGGACTATAGTCTGGACTATAGACAGGACTATAGTCTGGACTATAGACAGGACTATAGTCTGGACTATAGACAGGACTATAGTCTGGACTATAGACAGGACTATAGTCTGGACTATAGACAGGACTATAGTCTGGACTATAGACAGGACTATAGTCTGGACTATAGACAAAGCTATAGTCTGGACTATAGACAAGACTATAGTCTGGACTATAGACAAGACAATAGACTGGACTATGGGGAAGACAGTAGTCTGGACTATAGACAAGACTATAGCCTGGACTATAGTCTGGACTATAGACAAGACTATAGTCTGGACAATAGACAAGACTATAGTCTGGACTATAGACAAGACTATAGTCTGGACTATAGACAAGACTATAGTCTGGACTATAGACAAGACTATAGTCTGGACTATAGACAAGACTATAGTCTGGACTATAGACAAGACTATAGTCTGGACTATAGACAAGACTATAGTCTGGACTATAGACAAGACTATAGTCTGGAATATAGACAAGACTATAATAGTCTGGCCTATAGACAAGACTATAGTCTGGACTACAGACAAGACTATAGTCTGGACTATAGTCTGGATTATAGAAAAGACTAAAGCCTTGACTATAGACAAGACTATAGTCTGGACTATAGACAAGACTATAGTCTGAACTATAGACAAGACTATAGTCTGAACTATAGACAATACTATAGTCTGGACTATAGACAAGACTATAGTCTGGACTATAGACAAGACTATAGGCAAGACTATAGTCTGGACTATAGACAAGACTATAGACAAGACAAGATGGTGAGGAAAACAAAATTCGGCACAGCTGAATATAAAATTCCTGCTTTAACACATCTGCATTTCATGTTTTTATGGGAACTTGTATATAGTTTTTTTAAACCCTAATTTCACTTTTGTGAGGAGCTCAATACATTTCAACATTTTTTAATAATGATTTCCCTTTAGTACAAGTTATTAAATTAAACCGGTTGTAGGTAGAAACTGGGAATAATAATCATGTGAACTTAAAACACACGTAAAAATAGTTTTAAGGAGAATTTTATAATTTTGAACATTTCGTTTTTAATATTGACAATAAAACCTTATTCGCACCAAAAAGAGCTATGAAAAAAGGTTGTAATAAATACAACAAGTTTCATTTAATATACTACTACCATCCATAACATTTAGTTTTAAAAGCCTGGCGGTTATAATTTAAATAATACTAAGTGTATATGAATTTATAATTTAAAAAAAAATATTTGCTCAAGTACAAAAACAACAAAAAACGATCCGAAAGATTTATTTCTTTCAGTATGTTGCAAATTAAATATTTACATAAATAATAAATTCAAAAAAAAAAAAAAAAAAAAACAATAATAAAAATAATTAAAAACATCATACATATTTTAAAACACAAAACAAATATTAAGTTTAATTTAATCATCAACATGCTTTAGCGCATACCATGTCATTTTAAATCTAATTAAAATTCATATTAAACAGGAGAGAGGGACAGAAATAAAGAAGATCTTATAAATAAAATTACACACATTGCAAATTCCTAACTTCTTACCGCAAATTGTATGGACAAAATGATTAGTGGTAGTTTCTACAGAGTCGCTACATGATCATCAACTACTAGTAGCAGCAGCAGCACTGTGAGAATTTATAAATCCCAAGTTTTCTATTATGATTTTTTTTTTTTTACTTTTTTGAATCATTAAATATTAATGAACTGTTAGGTGATAATATCCAGCACAGCTTGATAATCATGGTAAAAATAAAAATCCATTACAATTGTTGTTAGTTTGTTGCTATTGTAGTGGATGGAGTATCTTAATATGGAACTGCTGCACAACGAATGAATGCATCATTTGTTAAACATTAATTAATGGAAAATGTTATTAACGTTTTTAGTCGTATGTTCGACATGATCAAGCAGAAAGACAGACCGACAGACAAATAAATAGGTAAATACGACAGATTTTAGAATGTTAAAAATTAATGATATAAAAAATCTAGTAGTTAGAATGACAAAAGTCTAATCGTTTGAGAAGAAGATTAGGTAAATGCATATCAGTTATACAATGTTGCATTCTTTCTTTAGATTAACTACATTCGGCTGTACAGAATTTTAAACACCTGTCTTCTATGAACAAGTCTATGGACACTATAAATAGTCTGGACTATAGACAAGACTACAACCTGGACTATAGACAGGACTATAGTCTGGACTATAGATAAGACTATAACCTGGACTATAGACAAGACTATAACCTGGACTATAGACAAGACTATAACCTGGACTATAGACAAGACTATAGACAAGACTATAACCTGGACTATAGACAAGACTATAGTCTGGACTATAGACAACACTAAAGTCTGGACTATAGACAACACTAAAGTCTGGACTATAGACAAGACTATAGTCTGGACTATAGACAAGACTATAGTCTGGACTATAGTCTGGACTACAGTCTGGACTATAGTCTGGACTATAAACAAGACTATAGTCTGGACTATAGACACGACTATAGTCTGGACTATAGACAATACTATAGTCTGGACTATAGACAGGACTATAGTCTGGACTATAGACAAGACTATAGTCTGGACTATAGACTAGACTATAGTCTGGACTATAGACAAGACTATAGTATGGACTATAGACAAGACTATAGTCTGGACTATAGTCTGGACTATAGACAAGACTATAGTCTGGACTATAGACAAGACTATAGTCTGGACTATAGACAAGACTATAATCTGGACGATAGACAAGACTATAGTCTGGACGATAGACAAGATATACTCTGGACGATAGACAAGATATACTCTGGACGATAGACAAGATATACTCTGGACTATAGCCAAAACAAGACTATAGTCTGGACTATAGGCAAGACTATAGTCTGGACTATAGACAAGACTATAGTCTGGACTATAGACAAGACTATAGTCTGGACTATAGACAAGACTATAGTCTGGACTATAGACAAGACTATAGTCTGGACTATAGACAAGACTATAGTCTGGACTATAGACAAGACTATAGTCTGGACTATAGACAAGACTATAGTCTGGACTATAGACAAGACTATAGTCTGGACTATAGACAAGACTATAGTCTGGACTATAGACAAGACTATAGTCTGGACTATAGACAAGACTATAGTCTGGACTATAGACAAGACTATAGTCTGGACTATAGACAAGACTATTGTCTGGACTATAGACAAGACTATAGTCTGGACTATAGACAAGACTATAGTGTGGACTATAGACAAGACTATAGTCTGGACTATAGACAAGACTATAGTCTGGACTATAGACAAGACTATAGTCTGGACTATAGACAAGACTATAGTCTGGACTTTAGACAATACTGTAGTCTGGACTATAGACAATACTGTAGTCTGGACTATAGACAATACTATAGTCTGGACTATAGACAATACTATAGTCTGGACTATAGACAATACCATAGTCTGGACTATAGACAATACTATAGTCTGGACTATAGACAATACTATAGTCTGGACTATAGACAATACTATAGTCTGGACTATAGACAATACTATAGTCTGGACTATAGACAATACTATAGTCTGGACTATAGACAATACTATAGTCTGGACTATAGACAATACTATAGTCTGGACTATAGACAATACTATAGTCTGGACTATAGACAATACTATAGTCTGCACTATAGACAATACTATAGTCTGGACGAAAGACAAGGCTATATACGATAGACAAGGCTATATATAGTCTGGACGATAGACAAGACTATAGTCTGGACTATAGCCAAAACTATAGTATGGACTATAGCCAAAACTATAGTCTGGAGTATAGCCAAAACTATAGTCTGGAGTATAGCCAAAACTATAGTCTGGACTATAGCCAAAACTATAGTCTAGACTATAGAAAAGACTATAGTCTGGACTATAGACAAGACTATAGTCTGGATTATAGACAAGACTATAGTCTGGACGATAGACAAGACTATAGTCTTGACTATATCCAAAACTAGTCTGGACTATAGACAAGACTATAGTCTAAGACAAGACTAATTAAATTTGTTCAATTCCTTAAAACTTCTTCCCTTATCAACTGATATAAAATTGAAACAGTCGTGAAAACAAAGATATTCAATATGAACTTATCATCGATCTTTCAAACGATCAGTTGAAGAAAACAATACAAAAACAACAAAAATCAACCGTAGCATCAATAACCAGTAATTAATTGATGATATTTATGCAAATTTTTGAGTGTTAAGAAAATAAAATTACTTTTTTTTTGTTGCTATTTAAAAGATGATGTTTTTGTTTTAATACTTTGCCAGTAAATAATGCAAATTTAACGTAATTTTTACAATAATAACAACAACAAAAATATAGAAAAACGTGTCTGTGGATTCCGTTTATATGTATGTTAATCTGTCTGTCTGTCTTCTCATCCATTTGTCTTTCTGTTAGTTCGAATGTATTTCTTTAAACAGGAATTAATTGGAAAAAATATGTGAAGGTCACTCACGTTTGGTGTGCTAAAAACACCATGATACTACATACATACTTGATATTATTAAAATATATTCCAGTTACAAAGGGGTTTATAAGGTTTTAAAACAAAATCAATAAGTTGAATGCAGTTTAAAAACCCTATTGGAAATTATTAAGTGAATATTTTTGCTATAAAGAATATTGTTGCAAATGTCTGTTAACTTAAATTACTAACACAAATTTTAAATTAAATTCCAATACGTACAAATATTTGTCAGCACCCACCACTTGTAACCAAATAGAAATAAACATCCAGAACTATTTTAATTACCAAAAGCACGTTTTGTAATGTACGTGCAAATTTACCAAACAATGTTGTTAATATTCGAACAACAAAACGTCTAACACTGTTGTTACGTAGTTATTAGATAAAAGTTTTTTATGAATTGCTTCGAAAGTATGCGACTTTTTCAGCCAAATAATAAAGTGTGAAATGTATATGTCTATAGTCTAGTCTATAGTCTAGTCTATAGTCTAGTCTATAGTCTAGTCTATAGTCTAGTCTATAGTCTAGTCTATAGTCTAGTCTATAGTCTAGTCTATAGTCTAGTCTATAGTCTAGTCTATAGTCTAGTCTATAGTCTAGTCTATAGTCTAGTCTATAGTCTAGTCTATAGTCTAGTCTATAGTCTAGTCTATAGTCTAGTCTATAGTCTAGTCTATAGTCTAGTCTATAGTCTAGTCTATAGTCTAGTCTATAGTCTAGTCTATAGTCTAGTCTATAGTCTAGTCTATAGTCTAGTCTATAGTCTAGTCTATAGTCTAGTCTATAGTCTAGTCTATAGTCTAGTCTATAGTCTAGTCTATAGTCTAGTCTATAGTCTAGTCTATAGTCTAGTCTATAGTCTAGTCTATAGTCTAGTCTATAGTCTAGTCTATAGTCTAGTCTATAGTCTAGTCTATAGTCTAGTCTATAGTCTAGTCTATAGTCTAGTCTATAGTCTAGTCTATAGTCTAGTCTATAGTCTACTCTATAATCTACTCTATAGTCTACTCTATAGTCTAGTCTATAGTCTAGTCTATAGTCTACTCTATAGTCTATTCTATAGTTCTATTCTATAATCTAGTCTATAATGTAGTCCTTTGTCTAGCCTATATTGTCGATATAGTCTAACCTCTAGTCTTTTTAAAAAATACTTTTTTTAAAATTTAATCATTAACACTCACCTCTTCGAGAAACATGGTGCGAAATTTCTCTCTGGTATGTTTGCCCTCACCCAATGACGCACTGCATTCTGATATTAAAGACCAACGAATTTTATCACGTCTTGCCTCCAGTTCCATGTAACTACATTTGTTCTTATCTAAATTAATATTTGAACGTTCCATGTATTTCCCGGCATGTGCAGCGGCTTGTTCTTCACTGATTTCATGCATATTTGATGAAGGTCTTGTAGTTGTCGTTGCGGGTGGTGGTGATGGGAGAGCTGAGATTGTTATCGCTGAATTGTGATTGTTAGAACTGCTTGCAGCAGTTGTTAATAGAGCGGTTCTTGGTGGTTTATAGGGAGGTTCATTTGTTGTGGCCATTAAGGAAGAAGAAAAATTTGAATTGGATTCTGTTGAGAAAGTCTGTTGGTTAGGGGATTGGGTAGAGATACTAAACGGTGATTGAGATCGTGAGTTATTGTGGTTTATCGAAGTTGCCACTTGATCCTTTGTGAAATGTAATATTGCAGGAGATTTTTTCTCTTCTGGCGTTTCATTTCCATTAAGATTTAAATTAATATTTAAACTACTGGTAAACTTATTCTGAGAATTTAAACTTGAATTTGAGTTTCGTTTAAGAGATTCCACGCTGTTGTTGTGGCTGGCGTGTAGTTTTTCCAAATATTGAGCAGCTTGTGTTAGCATAAAATCAAAAGGATTATAATCTTTAGCAGTTGTCATATCATTATTACTGTTATTATTGATATTTGAGGTATTATTTTTCATGATAACCGAGGTAGTTTTATTATTATTTACATTATTATGATCTTGATTGTGATTAGAAGTGGTAGTAGAGGTGTTTGTTGTTGTACTGTTGACAGTAGTTGTAGTATTTGTGTTGGTTGTAATCGTATTGCTACTGGTCGCATAAGGTAAATCATCTGAGAATGACACTTTTTTGGGCGATCTTGTTGGTGTTGCTGGCACTTCCAGAGAATTAGTGGACGACACTGAACCACGATGATTTTCGGCGCCACTGGTGTTTATTGTTAATTTATGATTATTTTCCATTTTTAGTTAATGTTTTTTAGTTTAGTTAAACATTTTAATTAAGTAGAAGCCGTTTTTAATTAATTTTCTTTTGTGTGAATTAAAGCGAGTTGTTATTGTCAACTATTAAAACAAATAGATTTAATTGTTGGAAAAACTGTTAAGAATTAATATATTTATTTTTTGGCAATATTTTTGTTTCGTTTCACTAATTTTAATTTATGTTGTTGTTACACAACAACATTAGAACAATTCCTTAATACATATAAAAAACTCACTTGCAGTCAGAAACTGTCAAAAATATGCAAAAACAATCGGGCAACATCAAACAAAGTAAATAATTTCTAACAACAACAACAGTTCATAGATACCAACAAAAAGTTAATATTTGTTATTGTTTTCTCTAGCCAACATAAATTCTGTACCACACTCCCTCTCTCCTCCTCTTTCACAAACTCTATCCTTTTCATTATAAAATCTCTTACTCTTCTTTTAGTTTTCTTTAGTTTAACAAGTGGTTCGGTTGAATTTTAAGTGTGACGCGCCGTAATAAGTGAAATATTAAAAGTTATTAAAATCTAATGGTTAATAATTAGAATTTTATTAATAATACTATCCTGTCTTGATCCATTAATAGTTTTTCAATAAAATCTGTTCCTTAATTCTCCGTAATAAAAGTGAAAACAAAGAAATTGCAATTTTTTTATGACCATAAAAGTCCGTGTAAAATTAATTTTGCCGTGTTCGCGTTTCTTTTATTTTTGTATGTATCTATTGTTTGTTGTTGCTTGCTTTAACTGTTTTGGTCGTATTGCATTAGTCTATGACGTCATTAGTTAGTCTTCGTGTTTTTTTTTTTGAAATGTTCTTTGTTGCTTTGAAAAAATTGCATAAAAGTAGAAAAAAAAAAGCACAAACTGCAAAGGGTTTAATTTTGTTATAACAAAGAGTAATCCTAGTAAAATGGAAGAGAGGGTAAATTATGAAAAGAGTAATTTACCAAAAATATGGCCTGTTTAGTTTTAAGAGAATTGTGTTATGATAGTGTATGTGTGTTTATTTATTTGTAAGTGATTAAGTTTGAATTATAAAAGTGTTTTAGCGGAAATTCCTGTTGTTGTTAACAGATGCAAATCAAATATAATCGTTGCTCATCAGGTGGGTTCATTTAAGTAATTTTAATAAGTTTTATGATTTAAAGACTAGACTATAGACTAGACTATAGACTAGACTATAGACTAGACTATAGACTAGACTATAGACTAGACTATAGACTAGACTATAGACTAGACTATAGACTAGACTATAGACTAGACTATAGACTAGACTATAGACTAGACTATAGACTAGACTATAGACTAGACTATAGACTAGACTATAGACTAGACTAGACTATAGACTAGACTATAGACTAGACTAGACTATAGACTAGACTATAGACTAGACTAGACTATAGACTAGACTATAGACTAGACTATAGACTAGACTATAGACTAGACTATAGACTAGACTATAGACTAGACTATAGACTAGACTATAGACTAGACTATAGACTAGACTATAGACTAGACTAATAGACTAGACTATAGACTAGACTATAGACTAGACTATAGACTAGACTATAGACTAGACTATAGACTAGACTATAGACTAGACTATAGACTAGACTATAGACTAGACTAGACTATAGACTAGACTATAGACTAGACTAGACTAGACTAGACTAGACTAGACTAGACTAGACTATAGACTAGACTAGACTAGACTAGACTAGACTATAGACTACTAGACTAGACTAGACTAGACTATAGACTAGACTATAGACTAGACTAAGACTAGACTATAGACTAGACTATAGACTAGACTATAGACTAGACTATAGACTAGACTAGACTATAGACTAGACCTAGACTAGACTATAGACTAGACTATGACTAGACTATAGACTAGACTATAGACTAGATAGACTAGACTATAGACTAGACTATAGACTAGACTATAGACTAGACTATAGACTAGACTATATACTAGACTATAGACTAGACTATAGACTAGACTATAGACTAACTATAGACTAGACTATAGACTAGACTATAGACTAGACTATAGACTAGACTATAGACTAGACTATAGACTAGACTATAGACTTAGACTATAGACTAGACTATAGACTAGACTATAGACTAGACTATAGACTAGACTATAGACTAGACTATAGACTAGACTATAGACTAGACTATAGACTAGACTATAGACTAGACTATAAGACTAGACTATAGACTAGACTATAGACTAGACTATAGACTAGACTAGACTAGACTATAGACTAGACTATAGACTAGACTATAGACTAGACTATAGACTAGACTATAGACTAGACTATAGACTAGACTATAGTTTAGACTATAGACTAGACTATAGACTAGACTATAGACTAGACTATAGACTAGACTATAGACTATACTATAGACTAGACTATAGACTGGACTATAGACTAGACTATAGACTAGACTATAGACTAGACTATAGACTAGACTATAGACTAGACTATAGACTAGACTATAGACTAGACTATACTAGACTATAGAGACTATAGACTAGACTATAGACTAGACTATAGACTAGACTATAGACTAGACTATAGACTAGACTATAGACTAGACTATAGACTAGACTATAGACTAGACTATAGACTAGACTATAGACTAGACTATAGACTAGACTATAGACTAGACTATAGACTAGACTATAGACTAGACTATAGACTAGACTATAGACTAGACTAGACTACTATAGACTAGACTATAGACTAGACTATAGACTAGACTATAGACTAGACTATAGACTAGACTATAGACTAGACCTATAGACTAGACTATAGACTAGACTATAGACTAGACTATAGACTAGACTATAGACTAGACTATAGACTAGACTATAGACTACTATAGACTAGACTATAGACTAGACTATAGACTAGACTATAGTCTAGACTATATATAGACTAGACTATAGACTAGACTATAGACTAGACTATAGACTAGACTATAGACTAGACTATAGACTAGACTATAGACTAGACTATAGACTAGACTATAGACTAGACTATAGACTAGACTATAGACTAGACTATAGACTAGACTATAGACTAGACTATAGACTAGACTATAGACTAAACTATAGACTAAACAAGTCTCTAGACTAGACTATAACTCTAGCACCTACACTTAAGTGTAGTACCAGACAATGTTCTAAATTAAAACTTTCTAAAGTTTTCACAAAAATAAAACATTTTTAAAAAATATAAAAAAAAAATTAACAAATTTAAAAAAATGGAGGAAATTAAGAAATTATATAAAATTAAAAAAATCAAAAATGAGAAAATTAATAAAAAAAATTTAAAATTTCAACAAAATTTAAAATTAAGAAAATTTAAAAAAAATTAATTAAAAAAATAAAATATTTGGCAAAAAATTACAAAATAAAATTCTGAATAAATTTTTATATATCAAAAATGTATATTTTTTTAATTATTTTATGTTTATCTTTTAAACGTTTTTCAAACTTATGAAAAAAACTGAGAAAATTTAAACAAATTTAAAAATTATTTAAATAAAAAAGATTAATAAAAAGTTAGATCATTTTTTTACAAATTAATTATATATTTTAAAAAAATTAAATATTTTTTTGGTTATTTTTAATTATTATAAATTTTTAAAAATTTATTTAGATTGTTTTGTCATTTATTTTTCAGATATATTTTTTTCATAAAAAGATTTTTTATGTTTTACAAATTTTTATTTTAAATTTTCTGAAAAAAATAATTGATAAAAATTATTTTCTTTTAAATATTTCTAAATTTTTTTGCAGCTTTTTTTATATATTTTATTATTTTGTTTAAATTTTTTAAATATTTTGTTTTTAGTTTTTTTTTATAGATTTTTGATTTATTTTTTAATATTTTTTTAAATTTATATCTTTTGGTGTTAATTCACAGATTTTTAAAAGATTCAAATTTTAACTTTGTTTTTTTTTTAATAAACAAAATTGTTTTTACTTTTTTCTATTTTTTCATATTTTCAAAATATTAAATAAATATTTTGTTAAGTTTTTAAATTTTTGTAATTTAATATTTTTCAAAATAATTTTTTTAGTATTTTTTTTTTTATTTTAAATGAATTTTTTTAACTATTTTGTTTAACTTTTTTTTAATTTTTAAAAATTTTATTTTTTTATAAAATATTTTATTTAAAATTAATATAAAAATAAAAATAATTTCGAGATTTTTATTTACTAAATTTTTATTTATTTTTTTTTAAATATTTAGTTTTTCCAAAAATTTTTTCTTTTATTATTTTTTCAATTATTTTGTTTTTAATTCTCTGATCGCGCCGCAATAATTTTCAAGTTTTTAGTTTTGCGTTTAGCTTAATATACATTTTTTATTTAAATTTTAAACACCTTTTATTTTTATAATTTTTAAAATTATTATTAATTTTTTTGGAAACACTAATTTTTATTTAAAGGTTTTTGACCTGATTTTTTGTAAATGGATTTATTCACACTTGTGTTACACTGAAATATACACTTTCATTAAAAAAAATTACAAATAAATTATAAATTTTATTTGTTTCAGTTTCAATTTCTGGTTTTTAAAATTCAATAAATAATAATAATTATTTCTTTAAATATTTGTTTTTTTTAATAATTTATATTTTTTTTTCTCCGAAATTTTATTTATTTTTCTTATTTATTGCAATTAGTATTTTAATTTTATTTTTAAAATTTAAAGCGCCTTTCAAAAAAATTTTTTTTACACCACTAACAAAATTGTTCGAATATTAAGTTATAAAGCAGCAACCACGCGCGCGTTAGAAAGCGAAATTAAATTTTTATTCAACAAACGTATTCAGCAGCAAATGATCAACTGAAAGGGAAATTTTAAGAATTGTTACACAATAGTTGGTCCCACAAAACAAAACAATACAACCAACCAACTACACCACTAATAAAACGAAAGGTAACGAAACAGTTGGTACTTTTTTTTTCTTTAAAATAAAAACCTTTTCAATAAAATTCTCTTATACACCTTCAATAACATCCACACAACTTTTTATGCTACACATCCAATCTGGTGGATTTTGGTACTGCATACAAGTTGTTTGGTTTGAAGTAGTTTGGGTACTTTTTTTGGTATACTTTAATGGTACCTATGTACACTTTTTCATTATAAATTAATATTTGCGGAAATTTAAATCGCATAATTTCAATCTCTTTTGCGAAAAATGGGTCAATCGTAGAACCCCATGTTACATATCATCAAATTGTCTATTATCAACACTAATTCTTTCTTACAGCCATTTCAGATGGTTTTGCAATCTTATATAAAGGTTTGGCAGTGCGAAGTTTAATTCAGTATTAATTAAAAGGGTATTTTTTAAGATTTTACAAACCCACTAATTAAATACATGACACATAAGAACTTTGATTTTAGAACTGTAGTTATCTAGGGGATACATTTTACTGTGTTATTTGCTAATAAAACCATTCAATTTAGACTCTTAGAACTTTGCAATAATATTTAACTTTATCACGTATCACTATGACGAATACAACAAAGAATGCTTGATATTTGGACTAGTTTCTAGTTCAGTTCTAGTTCAGTCTAGTTTCAGTTCTAGTTCAGTTCTAGTTCAGTTCTTAGTTCAGTTCTAGTCAGTTCTAGTCAGTTCTAGTTCAGTTCTAGTTCAGTTCTAGTTCAGTTAGTTCAGTTCTAGTTCAGTTCTAGTTCAGTTCATGTTCTAGTTCAGTTCTAGTTCAGTTCTAGTTCAGTTCTAGTTCAGTTCTAGTTCAGTTCTAGTTCAGTTCTAGTTCAGTTCTAGTTCAGTTCTAGTTCAGTTCTAGTTCAGTTCTAGTTCAGTTCTAGTTCAGTTCTAGTTCAGTTCTAGTTCAGTTCTAGTTCAGTTCTAGTTCAGTTCTAGTTCAGTTCTAGTTCAGTTCTAGTTCAGTTCTAGTTCAGTTCTAGTTCAGTTCTAGTTCAGTTCTAGTTCAGTTCTAGTTCAGTTCTAGTTCAGTTCTAGTTCAGTTCTAGTTCAGTTCTAGTTCAGTTCTAGTTCAGTTCTAGTTCAGTTCTAGTTCAGTTCTAGTTCAGTTCTAGTTCAGTTCTAGTTCAGTTCTAGTTCAGTTCTAGTTCAGTTCTAGTTCAGTTCTAGTTCAGTTCTAGTTCAGTTTAGTTCAGTTCTAGTTCAGTTCTAGTTCAGTTCTAGTTCAGTTCTAGTTCAGTTCTAGTTCAGTTCTAGTTCAGTTCTAGTCGTTCTAGTTAGTTCTAGTTCAGTTCTAGTTCAGTTCTAGTTCAGTTCTAGTTTCAGTTCTAGTTCAGTTCTAGTTAGTTCTAGTTCAGTTTCTAGTTCAGTTCTAGTTCAGTTCTAGTTCAGTTCTCAGTTCAGTTCTAGTTCAGTTTCTAGTTCAGTTCTAGTTTCAGTTCTAGTTCAGTTCTAGTTCAGTTCTAGTCAGTTCTAGTTCAGTTCTAGTTCAGGTCTAGTTCAGTTCTAGTCAGTTCTAGTTCAGTCTAGTTCAGTTCTAGTTCAGTTCTAGTTTTCAAGTTCTAGTTCAGTTCTAGTTCAGTTCTAGTTCAGTTCTAGTTCAGTTCTAGTTCAGTTCTAGTTTCAGTTCTAGTTCAGTTCTAGTTCAGTTCTAGTTCAGTTCTAGTTCAGTTCTAGTTCAGTTCTAGTTCAGTTCTAGTTCAGTTCTAGTTCAGTTCTAGTTCAGTTCTAGTTCAGTTCTAGTTCAGTTCTAGTTCAGTTCTAGTTCAGTTCTAGTTCAGTTTTAGTTCAGTTCTAGTTCAGTTCTAGTTCAGTTCTAGTTCAGTTCAGTTCTAGTTCAGTTCTAGTCAGTTCTAGTCAGTTCTAGTTCAGTTCTAGTCAGTTCTAGTTCAGTTCTAGTTCAGTTCTAGTTCAGTTCTAGTTCAGTTCTAGTTCAGTTCTAGTTCAGTTCTAGTTCAGTTCTAGTTCAGTTCTAGTTCAGTTCTAGTTCAGTTCTAGTTCAGTTCAGTCAGTTCTAGTTCAGTTCTAGTTCAGTTCTAGTTCAGTTCTAGTTCAGTTCTAGTTCAGTTCTAGTTCAGTTCTAGTTCAGTTCTAGTTCAGTTCTAGTTCAGTTCTAGTTCAGTTCTAGTTCAGTTCTAGTTCAGTTCTAGTTCAGTTCTAGTTCAGTTCTAGTTCAGTTCTAGTTCAGTTCTAGTTCAGTTCTAGTTCAGTTCTAGTTCAGTTTCTAGTTCAGTTCTAGTTCAGTTCTAGTTCAGTTCTAGTTCAGTTCTAGTTCAGTTCTAGTTCAGTTCTAGTTCAGTTCTAGTTCAGTTCTAGTTCAGTTCTAGTTCAGTTCTAGTTCAGTTCTAGTTCAGTTCTAGTTCAGTTCTAGTTCAGTTCTAGTTCAGTTCTAGTTCAGTTCTAGTTCATTCTAGTCAGTTCTAGTTCAGTTCTAGTTCAGTTCTAGTTCAGTTCTAGTTCAGTTCTAGTTCAGTTCTAGTTCAGTTCTAGTTCAGTTCTAGTTCAGTTCTAGGTCAGTTCTAGTTCAGTTCTAGTTCAGTTCTAGTTCAGTTCTAGTTCAGTTCTAGTTCAGTTCTAGTTCAGTTCTAGTTCAGTTCTAGTTCAGTCTAGTTCAGTTCTAGTTCAGTTCTAGTTCAGTTCTAGTTCAGTTTTAGTTCAGTTCTAGTTCAGTTCAAGTTGTATTCCAGTTGAGGTCTAGTAAAGACATTATATTCTTTTCTATAGACTATGCTGTAGTCTAGTCTATAGTCTATAGTATAGTATATATTATAGTCTATAGTATAGTCTATAGTCAGTCTATAGTCTAGTCTATAGTCTAGTCTATAGTCTAGTCTATAGTCTATTATAGTCTAGTCTATAGTCTAGTCTATAGTCTAGTCTATAGTCTAGTCTATAGTCTAGTCTATAGTCTAGTCTATAGTCTAGTCTATAGTCTAGTCTATAGTCTAGTCTATAGTCTAGTCTATAGTCTAGTCTATAGTCTAGTCTATAGTCTAGTGTATAGTCTTGTCTATAGTCTAGTCTACAGTCTAGTCTATAGTCAAGTCTGTAGTCTAGTCTGTAGTCTAGTCTATAGCCTAGTCTATAGTCTAGTCTATAGTCTAGTCTATAGTCTAGTATAAAGTCTAGTCTATAGTACTATAGACTACAACATAGACTAGAATACAGACTAGACTATAGACTAAACTACAGAGTAGACTATAGAGTAGACTTTAGACTAGAGTTATTGTCTAGTCTAGACTATGGACTAGATTTAAGGCTAGACTATAGACTAGACTATAGATTAGACAATAGACTTCACTATAGACTATACTATAGGCTCGTCTATAGACCGTAGTCGGAAAAATACCGGAAAAATACCTAGTCGGAAAAATACCTATGTATTGCATAACTGGTCGTAATTTTTATTAAAAACTCCATTGTTATTAAAGTACTTTTGTGAGTTCAATTTAATCCACAAAAAAGTACCTTATCTTTGAAATACATTTATCAAAGTCAACTTGTATTTTGCTGGCAAGTATGAGTTCGTAGTGCATGTTGCAACATATGTTCGATGCAATTTATTGCAGAGTGCATTGGCAACATTTCATTTAAGTTATTTTACTAGACAAACAACCAATGTTTGGTTGGTTCGTTGGTCGGATGTTGATTGTAGTTGTTTGGACACATTTGCCGATTTTAGTTGAATTTTTCAAACGATCATCGTTAGACTTGACGGGGCCAATAGAAAAACAGTTTAATACATTCAAAACATATTTACACTTTATTATCTAGACACAACGAATTTTTCGTAGTTATTTTGCGCTTGCGTTTTAACTTAAAAGAAACACCATTTTTTATACACGTTTAAATATATATATTTTTTATAAAATTATGTTTCCGAAGCGTTGTATAGTTTTATATAGACGAGATGCACTACGGTCAAGTTATAAATTCACACTGAACACGTTTTGTTAACAACAATTGTTGAGAGCAGGCTAAAATTAATGTTTTGTTTATTTTTTATTAAAAAAACACATACAAAAAAAAAAAAAAAAAAAAAATTAACAAAATGAATTTAATAAATTAAAAAGCCCTCCTGCTCGTTTACTTAAAGTTAAAAAACAAAAAATATTTAAATATTTTGTGTGGTTTTTTATTTATAATTTACACTTTACAGTCAAACAACTAAATTGTATCGATCGTTATTTTTTGAAATGTTTACATGTTAAAAATTAATTCTCCACTTTATTAATTTGATTTGTGTATTTGTGGTGAGAGATTGCACTTGAAATTTTTAAATGTTTACAATTATTTAAATTACAACAATATAAGTGTTAATCCAAAAATATAAATGTTTGAGTGTTAAAAAATGGTTTCATTCAAAATTAATTTCAAATATTGAAAATATTAAAATAATTAGGTGTGTGTTTGTTTTCTAAATTGTACATTATTATGAGTGATTAAGTGTATTAAAATGAAAATTATAACGAAAATAAATAAAGGTCATGTCAGTAAATTAAAAAAAAAAAAAAAAATTAAAATCGAAAACAATTTCAATTTAAAAAATTTTTAGATATGAATTTTATTTTATTTTTAGAAAAACATTTTTAAGCATTAGACTCCCAATGTAAGATTAATGATATAGTGGGGGTTTAGCCAGCAGGAGATTTCTTTAGAATAATATTAATAAAAAATTTGCCCACGACTTTTATTAAAAACAAAATATGTACATTAATCTACAAAATAAAAAGTACATTATGCCGAATTTAAATAGTATAATCACCGACTAGTCAATAGAAGTTCTAGTTCAGTTCTAGTTTGGCTTTACTTCAGTTCTTGTTCGATTCTAGTTCAGTTCTAGTTTAGTTTAATTCTAGTTCTGTTCTAGTTCAGTTCTAGTTCAGTTCTAGTTCAGTTCTAGTTCAGTTCTAGTTCAGTCTAGTTCAGTTCTAGTTCAGTTCTAGTTCAGTTCTAGTTCAGTTCTAGTTCAGTTCTAGTTCAGTTCTAGTTCCAGTTCTAGTTCAGTTCTAGTTCAGTTCTAGTTCAGTTCTAGTTCAGTTCTAGTTCAGTTCTAGTTCAGTTCTAGTTCAGTTCTAGTTCAGTTCTAGTTCAGTTCTAGTTCAGTTCTAGTTCATTCTAGTTCTAGTTCAGTTCTAGTTCAGTTCTAGTTCAGTTCTAGTTCAGTTCTAGTTCAGTTCTAGTTCAGTTCTAGTTCAGTTCTAGTTCAGTTCTAGTTCAGTTCTAGTTCAGTTCTAGTTCAGTTCTAGTTTCAGTTCAAGTTCAGTTCTAGTTCAAGTTCTAGTTCAGTTCTAGTTCAGTTCTAGTTCAGTTCTTGTTCAGTTCTAGTTCAGTTCTAGGTCAGTTCTAGTCCAGTTCTAGTTCAGCTTAGTTGAGTTCTAAGTAGTTCATATTCTATAATATATACATGACTGTAGACTAGACTATAGACTAGACTATAGATTAGACTATAGACTAGACTATAGACTAGACTATAGACTAGACTATAGACTAGACTATAGACTAGACTATAGACTAGCCTATACTAGACTATAGACTAGACTATAGACTAGACTATAGACTAGACTATAGACTAGACTATAGACTAGACTATAGACTAGACTATAGACTAGACTATAGACTAGACTATAGACTAGACTATAGACTAGACTTTAGACTAGACTTTAGACTAGACTATAGACTAGACTATAGACTAGACTATAGACTAGACTATAGACTAGACTATAGACTAGACTATAGACTAGACTATAGACTAGACTATAGACTAGACTATAGACTAGACTATAAACTAGACTATAGACTAGACTATAGACTAGACTATAGACTAGACTATAGACTAGACTAGACTATAGACTAGACTATAGACTAGACTATAGACTAGACTATAGACTAGACTATAGACTAGACTATAGACTAGACTATAGACTAGACTATAGACTAGACTATAGACTAGACTGTAGACTAGACTATGGACTAGACTATAGACTAGACTGTAGACTAGACTATGGACTAGACTATAGACTAGACTGTAGAGTAGACTATAGACTAGACTATAGACTAGACTATAGACTAGACTATAGACTAGACTATAGACTAGACTATAGACTAGACTATACACTAGACTATAGACTAGACTAAAGACTAGACTATAGACTAGACTATAGACTAGACTATAGACTAGATAGACTATAGACTAGATAGACTATAGACTAGACTATAGACTAGACTATAGACTAGACTATAGACTAGACTATAGACTAGACTATAGACTAGACTATAGACTAGACTATAGACTAGACTATAGACTAGACTATAGACTAGACTATAGACTAGACTATAGACTAGACTATAGACTAGACTATAGACTAGACTATAGACTAGACTATAGACTAGACTATAGACTAGACTATAGACTAGACTATAGACTAGACTATAGACTAGACTATAGACTAGACTATAGACTAGACTATAGACTAGACTATAGACTAGACTATAGACTAGACTATAGACTAGACTATAGACTAGACTATAGACTAGACTATAGACTAGACTATAGACTAGACTATAGACTAGACTATAGACTAGACTATAGACTAGACTATAGACTAGACTATAGACTAGACTATAGACTAGACTATAGACTAGACTATAGACTAGACTATAGACTAGACTATAGACTAGACTATAGACTAGACTATAGACTAGACTATAGACTAGACTATAGACTAGACTATAGACTAGACTATAGACTAGACTATAGACTAGACTATAGACTAGACTATAGACTAGACTATAGACTAGACTATAGACTAGACTATAGACTAGACTATAGACTAGACTATAGACTAGACTATAGACTAGACTATAGACTAGACTATAGACTAGACTATAGACTAGACTATAGACTAGACTATAGACTAGACTATAGACTAGACTATAGACTAGACTATAGACTAGACTATAGACTAGACTATAGACTAGACTATAGACTAGACTATAGACTAGACTATAGACTAGACTATAGACTAGACTATAGACTAGACTATAGACTAGACTATAGACTAGACTATAGACTAGACTATAGACTAGACTATAGACTAGACTATAGACTAGACTATAGACTAGACTATAGACTAGACTATAGACTAGACTATAGACTAGACTATAGACTAGACTATAGACTAGACTATAGACTAGACTAAGACTATAGACTAGACTATAGACTAGACTATAGACTAGATATAGACTAGCCTATAGACTAGACAATAGACTAGACTATAGACTAGACTATAGACTAGACTATAGACTAGACTATAGACTAGACTATAGACTAGACTTTAGACTAGACTTTAGACTAGACTATAGACTAGGCTATAGACTAGACTATAGACTAGACTATAGACTAGACTATAGACTAGACTATAGACTAGACTATAGACTAGACTATAGACTAGACTATAGACTAGACTATAGACTAGACTATAGACTAGACTATAGACTAGACTATAGACTAGACTATAGACTAGACTATAGACTAGACTATAGACTAGACTATAGACTAGACTATAGACTAGATAGACTAGACTATAGACTAGACTATAGACTAGACTATAGACTAGACTAGACTAGACTATAGACTAGACTATAGACTAGACTATAGACTAGACTATAGACTAGACTATAGACTAGACTATAGACTAGACTATAGACTAGACTATAGACTAGATATAGACTATAGACTAGACTATAGACTAGACTATAGACTAGACTATGACTATATGACTAGACTATAGACTAGACTGTAGACTAGACTGTAGACTAGACTATGTACTAGACTATAGACTAGACTGTAGACTAGACTATGGACTAGACTATGGACTAGACTATAGACTAGACTGTAGAGTAGACTATAGACTAGACTAGACTATAGACTAGACTATAGACTAGACTATAGACTAGACTATAGACTAGACTATAGACTAGACTATAGACTAGACTATAGACTAGACTATAGACTAGACTATAGACTAGACTATAGACTAGACTATAGACTAGACTATAGACTAGACTATAGACTAGACTATAGACTAGACTATAGACTAGACTATAGACTAGACTATAGACTAGACTATAGACTAGACTATAGACTAGACTATAGACTAGACTATAGACTAGACTATAGACTAGACTATAGACTAGACTATAGACTAGACTATAGACTAGACTATAGACTAGATAGACTATAGACTAGATAGACTATAGACTAGATAGACTATAGACTAGATAGACTATAGACTAGATAGACTATAGACTAGATAGACTATAGACTAGACTATAGACTAGACTATAGACTAGACTATAGACTAGACTATAGACTAGACTATAGACTAGACTATAGACTAGACTATAGACTAGACTATAGACTAGACTATAGACTAGACTATAGACTAGACTATAGACTAGACTATAGACTAGACTATAGACTAGACTATAGACTAGACTATAGACTAGACTATAGACTAGACTATAGACTAGACTATAGACTAGACTATAGACTAGACTATAGACTAGACTATAGACTAGACTATAGACTAGACTATAGACTAGACTATAGACTAGACTATAGACTAGACTATAGACTAGACTATAGACTAGACTATAGACTAGACTATAGACTAGACTATAGACTAGACTATAGACTAGACTATAGACTAGACTATAGACTAGACCATAGACTAGACCATAGACTAGACTATAGGCTAGACCATAGACTAGACTATAGACGACACTATAGTACTAGGCTATAGACTAGACTATAGGCTAGAGAAAAAGCATTCCAAACCATTAGCTTATTTCCAAATAAATAGTAATTCCCCTATTTATCAAACTTTAACTAAAATTTAATTTGAATTCAGTAAGAAAATTTGTACTATTTGAACAAAAACTTTCAATAAACAAAATACAGGAAATAA